TTGAAATTGCTAGGGTTATTCTAATAGTTTCTCCTTTCATAGTTCATGCCTATCAAAGTCTTTTCCAGTTCTTTCACTTCTTTCTCTTCTCTTTTTTGGCTCTCTTTGTAACTCTCTCTCTCTTTGTAACTCTCTCTCTCTTTGTAACTCTCTCTCTCTTTGTAACTCTCTCTCTCTTTGTAACTCTCTCTTTGCTCTTTGCTAACTCTCTCGCTCTTTGTAACTCTCTCGCTCTTTGTAACTCTCTCTCGCTCTTTGTAACTCTCTCTCGCTCTTTGTAACTCTCTCTCGCTCTTTGTAACTCTCTCTCGCTCTTTGTAACTCTCTCTCGCTCTTTGTAACTCTCTCTCGCTCTTTGTAACTCTCTCTCGCTCTTTGTAACTCTCTCTCTCTCTTTGTAACTCTTTCTTAACTCTCTCTCTCTTTTAACTCTCTCTCTCTCTCTCTTTGTAACTCTCTCTCTCTCTCGCTCTTTGTAACTCTCTCTCTCTCTCGCTCTTTGTAACTCCCCTATCTCTCTATCAGGTTGTCCTACTTTTGTTCACTTAGGAAATTTCATAAAATTAAACCTTTTTTATTTTATTTGAATTATTTATTCATTTATTTATTATATTTCTTTCTTTCAGGACATAACCAAAAAATATGGGTTAGAACCTAAATTTTTTGTTGATGGTGTGAGTGGATTTGATGTACAACAAGGAACTCTTGGTGAGTGTCTTCTTTTATCTGGTAATGATATATTCATTAATTTTTTTTTTTTTTTTTTAACTGGCTTACAGATTACACTAAGTCTTATATAAATAACTATTTAAATATATTTTCTGTTTATACATTATTTTTATAGATACAAATATCTAAGTAAATGCTCTTTTTATAGTAAACAGTATTAACAACATTTACTGGCCTGATAGGATACAGGTTCGATTCCTGTTGGAAAACATATTTTCTATGAAATTTCTGACAGTCAGACCAGTAAATGTTAATACTGTTTACTATAAAAAGAGCATTTACTTAGATATTTGTATCTATAAAAATAATGTATAAACAGAAAATATATTAAAATAGTTATTTATATAAGACTTAGTGTAATTTGTAAGCCAGTTAAAAAAGGGTATCCTACATGGAACTGTCAAATAGCTTGACATGCTATACCATTTAGCTACAGAGGAAGCATCTGGTCAGCAAGGTCAAATTACTGTTTTTAAACTACAAATTTTTCATGATTTCTCTTGAACACTCATATCTGCTTGAAGTGTATCTTAATGTAAACAAATGACATCATATATTATGAAATGGACTAAGTTTGACAATTATTTTAATATATTTTCTGCTTATATGTTATATTTATCTGGGACATGTAATGAAGGAGGGCTTGGAAAATCTGACACTCGGATAGCAGAACAGGCTTTAGGAGAAATAACAAAAGACAAAACTTATTAAGAGCTACAAGGGACAGGAAGATGTGGAGAGCCATGATTGCCTAAATCCTGACGAGACACGGGACATAAAAGAAGAGTACAGGACAAACTGTTCTTAAGCAAAATAGTAAAAGGGTTTAAAAATATTCTAGATCTTTCTTATGAATAGATTTTCATGTAATTAAAAATGTCTGACTTAAAGTGTGGAGTTAGTAATGCTCAGTGCTACTCTTCATCTTAAAACATCACTAGTGCAGGCCTGAGGGCGACTCCACTCGTCTCCTAGAGATGTTGGAGGGCCTGTAGTAATCATAGAAAATCCTCTTTAAATATTTAAGTCAAACCATGGTGATGATGATGATGGCTTTATAAAAGCAGAAATATTAAATCTTTAAGTACTTGCATTATTTTTTAAGACTTTCTGTTCAATTATTATAAATGTCTTTCTATTTTAGACGCAATTAACACACTTTTATTCATATCTGAGAATCAAGAAAAAATAAGTTTTTCCCACTGTTACGTGTCTTATAGTTTTTAATGGAATGTTATGAGAACTGAAAAAACTAGCAGATTGCACCCAACACAAGACTTGAATGTAGGAATTTTTCCTAGTTGCGTGTGTGTGTGTGTGTGTGCTCGGCAGTGTATAGAGTGGAATGAACAAACCCAAGGCTTGGAATAACTGTTTAACAGCTTTTATTTGTAGTCAAAAGAGAGTGCAAAATAGTGGTATTTTGCAGAGAGTTGGGATCCCCAGTTAAAAAAAGTTCTGAGTAGATATTTTGTAGAGAGATTTTCTCCACTTGTTCCCGTGAGGAATGAGAAGTCTTAGTGTCAAACTGCTAGGACTAGCTAGTATGTGTTTTCTGCAGCAAGGGTTTTGAGTAGTTTCTCCTTTGGGTAGGTGTCTCAAAGGGAGATTTCTCTGCTTGTTCCCACAAGGAACAAGAAATCTCAGGTCAAGTTGCCAGGACAGGCCATATGTATTCTGCAGTAATGGTTGTGAGTATTCCTTCAAGTTGGGCCTTAAAAGTAGCAACCATGGAAAAGTAGCCAAATAGAGCTCACAGCATTTTTATGAGATCTGGGACTTCCGGTTGTTCCCTACTGATTGCTTCTGTTGCTGCTACTGCTGAATCGAGCAAAGTAAGGATGCCTCCATATGCCACAATAGACAAGTGAGATAGTTTTTATATGAGAGCCACTCAAGGTGAAGTGTTACAAGATGGTGATGCAGAAGGAAGTGTGTGACATGAATGGAAGTAATGGTGGTAGAAAATAAAGCTTATGAAAATAAGGAGAAAAGATGCTTGTAACACAACTTGTGAGAAAATGGGAATTAGGAAAAAAAAAAAAAAACTGCTTCTTGTGAACCTGAAACGAACGCTCGACTCTTCCGAATCAACACTTTACGATAGCAAATGCGCAAACAGCACCCATGACTGCTGCCGACGAACGGACAGTCGCCCCCCCCCCAAATGCCAAATGACTTGCGCGTCTTCTTCTTGTTGTCCTTGGTCGAGTCCATTATGGTACTCCAAAGTGGGCCCGGCAAAAATGTGATTTTCCTATTATGGTGACATGGCTTCCTTGTGTCTTTTCTATAAATATTTTCATGGTAATTGTTCTGATAAGCTTTTCTCCTTGGTACCTTGCATGCATGAATTTAGATGTAGTACTAGACTGGCAACTAAGTCTCATCATTTTAATACTGAAGTAGGCAGATGTAACCATAAGTTCTATTCTAATAATTTCTTTTCTCACACTTCTCACTTGTGGAAATCTTTTCTGGCTTTTAGATAGTAAAACCAAAGATGAGGATAGGAGTCAAACTGTAAATAATATATACTTCTTATTTATTTGTGGCTTATTTAAGCTTTTTTTTTTTTTTTTTTTTTTTTTATTGCAGGAGACAGCTGGCTTTTGGCTGCTATTTCCTGCTTAGCTGGTCCCGGTTGTTCTTCCCTCTTCCACAGGGTTGTTCCACTCAACCAAGGTTTCCAGGATAATGAATACTGTGGTGCTTTCTATTTCAACTTCTGGTATTTTGGAGAATGGGTTGAGGTGATCGTTGATGACTATTTACCCACCAACCAGGGACAATTGTGTTTTGTACATTCCAGTAAACACAATGAATTCTGGCCAGCTCTTCTTGAAAAGGCATATGCAAAGTAAGATGTTTTCTGTGTTTTCAAAGTTACTTGTGTACTATTTGCTTTATATAAATTACTTCCATTTCTATGTCAATAATTTTGGTAACTAGATAGCAAAAGCATGTATCTTGTTTTTGTGTGTGTATGTGTGTGTCATTTTTATGTATGTCTCATACTTTTTGGGAAAAAAATCTAATACACATACTGGCTTCAAGTCACTACTGTTGATAACATCAAACAAATATGTGTGTGATGTTGCTCAAGTGTGTGTGTGTGTGTGTGTGTATATATATATATATATATATATATATATATATATATATATATACACATGAGAGAGTAATAAAAATTAGGAAAGCAGCTGATTCTTGTACTTTGGTTTCAACTTTTTGGTATGTTCAGGCAATTTCGGTCAATTGACCAAAATTGCTTGAAGATACCGAAAAATTGAAACCAAGGTAGCAGAATTGGTTGATTTCATAATTTTCTTTGCTTATGAGTCTATTGCTTGTTTCAATCCTTGTTCTATTACTGTTTGAGCAACCTTTCCAACAAGTCTGAGATCTTTGCAAATTCTTCAACTCTTGACTGGAATGTTTATTTTATGAAGAAATATAATGCTAAAGCAAACCAGAGAAAAGAGTTTGATAATTTAATGATATGAATTTTATGTGTTAAAATTTTTGTCCCCCTACAAAAAAAAAATTGGTTGGAAATTTTTGAATTGACACATTGTAGATAGTCTTGGACAAAACTTAACAAGAGTAACAAATATTTTTGTCGTATATTATTTCAGAATAATATAGGGCAAAAATCCTCTTTTTTTTTTTTTTTATATTAGAGGCATATTTTATAACAAATTTTTCATTTACATGTTTTTTTTTAATATTCAGCAAGAAAAATGTATCCATTTGCATTTTAGCAGTAAATTATACTGTTAAAAATAAAGTGGAAATCCGAGATTTTCTTTTTTATATTTCTTAGTAAATATCTGGTCCAAATATGGAGAATTAAAAGAAATAAAATTAACCAATCAAATTCAAGCCTTTATTCTTCAAATTTTGCCTTACAAAATCAGTCTTATCATAATATTTTTACACCAAACACATCTTGTCAAAGTTCCCAGTCAACATAATTATCTACATGCTCCATGCATTAAATGTCCAAAGCTTTTCATCTGAGTTGGCAGCCATTCCCCCTCCCACCTCCCCGCTGCATATAGTTTTATTTTTAAACTCAAACTGAGCAAAAAACATTTGTTGGCCTATAAAAATGTATTACTTTTATTCTTTTAAAAATTCTCTATTTTTCACTGTGCCTAGCTTTGTCAGGTATAAGGCCAAATATTTTAAGTTTTTAATTTGATATAAATGGTGGTGGTGAGGGGGTAAATGGCTGTTGGAAAATTATTGCATTAGATGTGAAAGTGTTGCTTTCCATGTGGAACAGCCCTGTCAGCCTTGAAAATCAACATTTTAAAATACTGGCTTCTTACCTGGAATTAAACTACTGGGAAATAGTAAATTTCCTTAATCATTACAGCAAGTCAATCTGCGCTGTCAATTTAGTATTGACTAAACTTAGGATGGCATAAGGTCAAGTGGGGATAGTATGTGCCTCCTGCACTTGGCTTTGCCAGAAACATTCGTTACGGTGTGCTCTTTAAGTCTATAAAAAGTTAAGTGTATTCTCTTTCTCTTTAACTCTTGCATTCAGATGTTGTCAAACATAGATAAAAAAAATGCTGCTACTGGGGCATGATTGCTTCCTTGGTCCTCTGTTAATTGAACTCTCTCTCTCTTACACACACACACACATGTATCATACACATAAGCACATTCTTATAGCTAGTTTCAATGTCTTTTCCTTTCATTTCAATTGTGTAGACATGCAATTACTTTTGTTAATACATGCATATAATTTCTGTTTGTTTTAAATTCATTGTTTTGTTGTATATATTTTTACCTGGACTCAAATGAGTCCACCAATATTGTTTGCAGGACAAATGCTCTTGGAGCCCATAAATTTTTCCTCATATCCAAAGTACTGATTCCTGCAACAAAGTGGGGACTTATTTTTACTCGAACAACATAGAATCCTGCAACAAGACTGTTTACTTTCAGGATAACATTGACTGCTCGTGCCAGTGGAAAATGTGCAACATTTTCAGTCACTAGGCATGTCATGTCTTTTTTTTTTTTTTTTTTTTTTTAAGTAAACAAAGCTTGGCAGCTGATCTCACCTCTGACCTAACCCTCACAGCTCAATGCAGAAAAGACTGACTTGTATCATTTAAACCAAACAGACCCTAGATTTTCTCTACTCCTGATGAATGACTGCATTTTTGATGAGGCTACTGGGACTAAAGCTAACTCCAGACCTCAAGTGAAACTATTGCCCAAGATGCTGTCTCCTTGTCTCCTTCAGAAAGTACATGTCTCCCCTTACTATGCTCTATCTTTATGAGAGTCAGATCAGACCAAAAATGGAGTATTGCTGCTATATCCAGGATGGAGCTGCCTTAGTCCCCACTTTCCATCCCTGACAGAGTTGAAAAGGGTTTATATTGCCTTATGAGTGATGAATTATTTTCCACCATACAACTCCTTTCCTGCAGACAAAAAATCAGTAGCCTTTTGCTACTCTATCACTATTTTGGTGGCAGATGTTCAGACCTTCACCACTAAGGACTACCATGCCATCAGCTCCAAACCATTGTGACAAAACTGTTCCATGCTGCTTTCTCTGTCCTAGTGAGCTCCTTGAGGAATTCCTTGCACACTATGATCTTTATTTGTGGTTTGACGAAGACACTGGCTTTTGACTTTTGCCAAAGACAGCTTAGGGAAGGAGTCTTGAAGGTACTTCAAGGCTGTAGACTCCTTATCTAGAGCTATGACAAATTGTTTCATAAAGCTCAATTTTAAGTGCAGTGGAGGAAACAGTACTTTCCAGGGGGCCAACAGTTTGACGTTGTTCTACTCCACACTGAACTTGTTCTGCTGTGGCCAGGCCTACCTGTGGTAATGTGCCACAGTGTCCCTGTTGTTCCAAAAGCAAAGATAATATGGAAACTTGGTAAAGCCACCTGGGAGACCCATCAGGAAGGCCACCATTCTGAAGTCTCCGATAACCTCCCAACCATAATCTTCATATTTCAAACCATCTAGCAAGATCTTAACATTGCTATATTTCTTGTTGCACTGAATAAGACAGGGGAAGAGATGGGTAAATGTTCCTGTTATGGATCAGCTCGACTTTGAGGCTCCTGGATGAGCTGTCTATAAAAAGGCACCACTCGCTGGGGTTACAGGTTGTAGAATGGGTGGCCATGGCTAAATGTAAATAAATGACAGAATTGCCCAACAAACACACTTGACAAAGTTCATAATGAAAAAGAAAAAAGAACAGGGCAAAAATAAAAATGAAGCAAGCAAACAAATATATGCAATGCAAAAAGTTCATAAACTAAGAATTGGGGTTGACCCATAAGAGCAAATGTGGATAAATTAATGTAGTGTTCTGACTTTAAGAGAGACCGGGACTGGGCATGGCCAACTAGTGTTATACGGCCCCACATGCCACATAACAAGCTGAATTCTATACAAACCAGTGTAATGTAAACAAAAAAACAAATATGAATGGCCGCTTAGAAAATTACTAATCTAAAAGGGAGGTAACTTTTAAAATTGAATTCTTAGAACATAAATTAACAATGTACAATTATGTAGAATTTATTAGATATTATTTCAATTCCCTAGACATGTTTTCAACACTAAAATGCATATTTACACCTAATCCATGAATTGTAAATAGCTGAGTTACCTCACTTTTATGATTTTTTTAATTGCGTATATGGCCCATTTTGCAAATGAACACTTTTAGATAAAATTTCTACATTATAGTCCATTGCATTTAAAGATTAAATTATAAAGTTTGTTGTGATATTTTGTTTAACAAAAATGGTTAACAAATGTGTTACATTAGCTTTTTTAGTGGATATGTTACTAACGACCCCAAAAAGTATCGACATTTTCTTTTCATCTTGGAAAATCCGACCTTGTTTAAAAATGGATAAAATTTGTTAATTGTATTGATTGGTTTCCTACAAAACATTCAGTTCTCTGTATGAAAGACTTTGAAGAGAAATTTATTTTCAAAGGAAAACGAAACAAACTGAATTGGGATTTACATCCAATACTACAATACATTTAGAAAAAAAATAAGAAAACATTGTCTTTTGCCAAATATAAGGGAATTTAGAAAGCCTCAAAAACAATGACTGGTTCAAACTGATGAATTAATATGATTTTATTTTATCTGATATGATAAAGGATTTTACTCAAGTGAATTAAAAAAAGAAGAAAGATTATATTCTAATTTATTGAATAGTCTTTGACCCTGAAAAATATTTTCCATCTATAAAAGAATGTATTTGCATTGACCAAAACCTTCATGTCCAGCTCCAGTGTGATGGAACCCCTATACCATTATCATAGTGGTTTATACATGAACATAATGTTAAACTCACGAGATTTTGTGGTGGAAGAACAACCATACTCAATTATGAAAGAATTACATGACAACATTACCAACCAAGAGGTCGTTCTTCATTTTCTGCAGAACTAATACGTTATGCCTTCTTATTGCACTATATGTCTCAACAAGCCTACAAATTACTTATGTAGAAATTTTAGTTACCATATTTTTCTTTATTAGAGAAAATTAAAAAAAAAATAATTAAACGTTTTCAATGTGAAATTTGTTTCCTGATCATGGTAGGCAATGATAATGATGATGCTACAGAGAAGCAGTACTTGATTTCTTGAGGAGGTCGTATGGTTCCATTTAACCAGAGTTCATTTATGTTTGTTTTGCTATACTTGAATATGCAGATAAATTTATTGTAAAACAATGAATCCACTACAAGAGAGTCTGCTGAAAGTATTTTGGAAACTTATTTTCCAAAATGTTTTTACTTGTGAGCAACACACTGAAAAAGGAATTCACTTTGCAGCAAAAATTGTTGAGTATATTTTACAACAACCATATACCTCTGATTCTATTTTTGTATCTCTACAGCATCATCGACTATTAGAAACTTTTATAAAATTGATAACGCTGCATCAGTATAAACAAGTGATTGTGTACCATGTACAATCTCACCCATCACTACTAGTGAATTAATCTGGCAAACACATACTTTTTAACCTCCCCTTTTTTCCCCACCTTTTGGCTCTTTTCACCTCTTACCTACCTTAAAACCTCTGGCTTCCCATTCCAGCCCCCTTTTCACATCCCCCCCCCCCAATATCAGTCTCAGTCCATGCTACTTACTCTCCACTCTGTTCTCTTTTATATTTAAGTAACTTTATTTTTATTTTCCTGTTTTCAGGCTATATGGTTCTTATGAGGCGTTGAAGGTGTGTATTTTTGGTGATGTTCTCACAGACCTAACTGGTGGCCTTACTGAAAGCTACATCATTCGTGGACCAGATGCCAACACTCCAGCACAAATCATCAACATTTTGTTCAAAGCTCTTGACCGATATTCCATTGTGGCATGTGGAATAAATGTAAGTTGGACCCCCTTTTGTTTGTTTGTTTTTTTTTGTGTGTGTGTGAATTTAATCTACAAAGATTTCTGCTATAATAGTGAAATTCTTTTTAGCACCACCCACCTCCTAAAAAAAACTTTCATAAATTTGTAGAAATTAATACAAAGCATCATTGGGTGGCAAAAAAATTTGTTTGGTTTATCTAAGTGGAATAAGTGAAGTATTGATTCTTGGATACAAGACTTTTATCTTTCGGGTATAATTCTGACAATTTCTGTCAGATTTTCTGGGATGAGGAGTTATCATTATTTACATTCAGATTAATGTCTCTGTCTTTGTTGTTTGTTTGAATTTGTGGGATAAGATTTTATAGTTGGATTATTATGTTTGGCAAATATGAGAATGCAATGACGGCATTACCATTAATGTAAAAAGTGGAAGTGATGAAAAAACAAATGGAGGTAAGACCTAGTTGAGATAAGTTTTTATTCCTCCTTTACAGGGTTTCATAATTTGCTTGTTCCAGGATATTGTATATCGGCCATGGGAGACTGAGAGTTTGTTCACTGTATAACTCAAGCTAATAATTGAGAAAGAAATATGGAGAAAATGAACATGGCTATGTAGTCAAGTGAGATAGATTTTGGGGGGAAAATATTCCACAAATTGGTGCATTGTAGTAGTTGATTTAGTCTCTGCTGCTGCTGGTTTTGTCATTGACCAAAGGCATTGCCATTAATGGAAGTGCCTTGGTGTCATTGCTAATGGCCTGGTTAAGTTTACTTGGTCAGATCTGTCTTCATGGGTGAAATCAGTGTTGCCTTTATGATGAATCAGTTGCTCAGAAATGACCTTTTTCTGATTGGTTAGAAAATCTTCTATGGCTCTGATATTTTTGGATGGTATTCTAGAAGTGGGTGTTTGGAAGCCAGGCGAAATTAAGGTCTGTTTTTGTCATATGAGCTGTGGACATCGAAGTGAGTACTTCCATTTAAGTTAAAGAATTGGAGTTCCAGCAGGGTACAAGGACAATAGCCTGAATATAAATAATTTTTTTTTCAGTTTGTTTAAACATTAAGGACTACCAAACAACAGAATTGGGTTAGATAAAACTTTGCAGGTATTTGGTACATGATCAGGTGAATATTATGGACTACAGAAAAAATAAGACTGGCTTTGTTTGGTAAACATATAACAAGGGTCCAGTTTTGTATGATATGTATGTGATAAATTGAACCCCCACTTTAGTGCCAATTCACTTGGTTCCATTTTAAATGTAAACTTTTCCTAAAAATCAACATTAGATTCATTGTGTGTGTATATATATATATATATATATATATATATATATATATATATATATACTGGGTGTAAAGCATAATTGTCCATTCCCACAAAATGTTTAATATCTTTAAAAAAAAAAAAAAAACATTAAACTTCTCAACTGAGCAACGGTGAGAGGAAAAAAGATCATTCAGGCCTTCAGTAATGGTACCAACATTCATACACTGGCTTCCATCTTCAAAGTCCATTCAAGAGCCATTGGTAAATAAGTTTAAAAAAGATGGAACAGTAGAGAGAACTGGATCAGGAGGTCACAATAGGAAGAGGGATCATCATTTCAACTTAGCACTAAAGGGATCAATTAAAAAAGATCCAACTCAATCCATAAGATGTGTGGCACATAAGCGAGAAGTTTTAGCTATGGCAGTCCAAAGAGCAGTGAAAAGACTTGAAAATGAAATTGTATGTGAAACCTGTGAGGCATCTTGTTACTCCAGGACAGAAAGTTAAAAGTTTAGAGAGGGTAAATAAGTTGGAAAATAACCCTGGGATAAAATATATATATATATATGTATGTATGTATCCCAATTCTTCTGTTAAGCATGGAAAGTAATTATACATTCTTATTGCTCAGAGTAGAGTCCAATACTGTTATAAAAACCTTGTAGAATTCCAGTAAGATATCTTTAATCGTTTCTAAGATACAACAGTTCAAAGCTTAATCTAACAATTGGACAGTTTTGCTGTTACACTGTGTGTGTGTGTGTGTGTGTGTGCATATATATATATATATCCAATCTTATTCTGCCATATATTGGAAGTGCAGGTGGTGTAATGGATACTGGCCTGGAATGAGAAATTGGAGAGACAAGTTCGAATTTCAGTCAAGTTCATTGCATTTACCTGTGCAAATAACCTTTGGAAAGGTGTGGATCCAACTATTTGTCTGCCTCTAGCTATGGGTCAAATAGTAGGGCAAACTAGGAGTGTCTATCATTATATATATAATATATATGTAATATGATTGCAAACAGTTCCTTTGTACTTGATGATTGCATAGTGCATGAACCTCAGTTGTACTATCAGCATGGGGTATTATTTACTTAATAGGTTTGTTATTTTGCATTGAGCATTATTTACACCAAATGATATATATATATATGATTATTATTTATAAAATCACTAGTGGATACAAAGATACCACTATTCAATATAAAAACTCTGTTAATTGAACCATAATAAGAAAAGATCTAGAAAGATCATCTGGTTCACTCCCCCTTTCAATATAATGGTTAAAACTAAATTAGGACGTATATTTCTAAACCTCATCAAGAAACATTTCCCAACCCCGAAAACTAACCCACTTAGTAAAATATTTAATCCTAATGAATTTAAATTAAGCTATAGTTGTGCTGATAACCTGGAGAAAATAATTAAAAAACATAACAACATAGTCTTTAACAAGTATAGGGATTCAAAAGGCTTGACTACTCAACAAGTTACTAACTGCTATACTAAATATAACACAAATAACAACTTATGTAATTGTAGGAATCCTAATAATTGTCCACTACAAAATAACTGTGGGATTACTTCTGTAGTCTATTTCAACAATTGAAAATCCAAATATAAAGAAATTTTACATTGGTAGCACCATGAAAACATTCAAGGAACGCTGGCGGGGGCATATGCAATCTTTTAATCACAGTGAATATAGGTACATGACTTCATTATCCAAGTATTTTTGGAATCTAAAAGAAAAGAACAAAACACCTACGGTTAAATGGAGTTTGATTAAGAGAGCTCGGACATGTAACTCCCTATATGCCCCATGTTACCTATGCCTTAACGAAAAATTTGAAATTATTAGATTCAAAAACAAGGCTGATCTCTTAAATCAAAGATATGAACTAACAGTTAATTGTAAACACCGTTATAAATTTAACTTAGTGTAGGGGTTGTATACTTTAAATGATAATGATATGTCACTGTAATTTTAATAGATTAGTATTTTTATTGCATGATGGTCATCCTGATGATATGAATGTGTATTGTTTACCTACATAGTGTTATTCGTGTTGGTGTATATGTGTATATATTTATTTATGTGTAGGTTAGTGTGTTTGTACTGAGGAATGTGTAGGTTTGTATACAAGTATATTTATGTGTTTTTTTATATATATATATATATATATATATAAGGTGGGAGGGTGTGGAAGATAAGAGAAGAGGTTAAAAAATGTTGAGGTGTGTGTGTGTATATATATATATATATATATATAGTGTGTGTGTGTATATATCTGTATGTGTCCTATTTTGTGTATATAAATTTATATTTACGTAGATTTCTGTTTGTATGAATGTGTTTATATATGTATGTTAGGGTATATGTATATTGGTGTGTGCAGGTATTTGGATGTATGTTTATGTATGTGCGTTTATATATGTATTTGGTTGAATGTCGTATTTATATGTATGTACGTATATATTGGTACTTGTTATTATAGATACATATATTTATGTATATGTTTATATGTATGTGTATATATATATGTATGTTTGTGGATGTATATGTGTGTATTGACACCTATTATATATGAGATTGTTTGTGTGTATGGGTAGGTATGGAAACTTTGGTATGTCATTACTGCCACAGTAGTTAGTCTACGTGTGTATATATGTGTATGTGTACTTGTTATCATAGATATGTATATGTGTGTATATGTTTATGTTTATATGTATGTATTTCTGTGTGTGTATATATATATATATATATATATATATATATATATATATATATATATGTGTGTGTTAGCTTGTGTTTGCTGCTGCGTGTGTATATATGTATGTACGTATGACAGTACACTTATTTCTGTAGGTTTTCTTTAGCCTAATATATAATGAAACTATTATCAACTTATATGATTAAAATGTTTTTATTAATATTTGTGGTTTTGGAATTTTCGTTTTAATATATTAAATAATATTATTTTTCACCATTTTTATCTTTGTATATTTGCTCGCTTAAGTTATATTTTAATAAGTGGCTAGCATTTGTTTAATGATACTTTAAGTCTTAAACATTTATTGGTTGTGGTATCTGATTGTCTAGGTCAATGTCTGTGGATGTGTGTACATGTATTTATCAGTGTCTATGTGTATGGAGAGTGCATTCGCTTTTAATTGTGTGTGTAGGTGTTGGTTTCCCCGTTTCCTTTTTTCATAAAGGGCTGTGGAGATGTTCCTGTCTCGTCGCGTATTTGTGTGTATATATATCTAAATATGTCTGGGTGCTTATGTATTATAATCTGATTGTGTTTTTGTTGTTTTGCGCGTGAGTTTAAGACCCCATTCACACACTTTGGATTAAAAAATATATATACATGTATTGTCAAATGACCGGATATTGTAGCGTCTGGTCGTACGTAATTTCAACAAAGAAATAAATTGAATAACATGTATTTTTTCTTTTCTCAATAATTTTATAGTTTTTAAACTTAATAGTGATTAAATTTGAATTTTAAAATTGGCAGTTTTTAATTTTAATATCAAATTTTATCATATGATTTAATAATTATTGGTTAGAATAAATTCTTTTTAATATTACCCGTATTTTAAAGATCTGAATAGCTATTATAACATGATTTCATTGTCAAGCTTTTGAATCTTCCTATACTTGGATTTTGATTGGTCATTCTAGCTTTTTTAACAAGGTTTTCCCCTAGCGAAGGATCGTTAATTAATTTGAAACTTTTAAAACCGTTTATTTTATCTTCAACATCATCACTTGATAAGACACCGGGGTGTTGAAACTAAATGGCTATTTTTGTAGTGATTTTATAACATATTTGTTATAATTTTTTTTTTTTTTTTATAAATAATAATTATATCTGCTCTACTTTGTATTGAGCACTCTTTTAAGAATAGTAGTTGTTGGTTATTGGAATTCATTCGTATATATATATATTATTTATATATATATATATATATATATAAAAATTTATAAAAAATTTGCTTGAGGATGAAATGGAACTAATGTCTTTAATTTAATCACAAAATTAAATTCGTGGCTTTTAGCTTCCATTTTTGAAACATGTTTAGAACTGTGTAGCGAAAAAAAAACATTTTAAATCGATTAATTTATAATTACATATATATATATATATATATATATATATATATATATATGGTTAAAATGTTTCATATTTCGGTGATGGTTAGAGTAGAAGGTATGAGTTATATTACACTTAAAATAGTGCTTGATTAATACATATTTTATGTGAACACTTGCATGTACATTTATTTATATTTATTTGATTATATTCATATTTTTCTCCTTTTAGTCAAGCATTATTTTAGGTGTAATATAACTCTTTATACCTTCCACTCTGTCACCTGAATAGAAAATATTTTAACCTTTTTTTATTGTTTCCTGAGAGAGCAGCATGTCACTGAAATGATGCTGGGGTATAAATATATGAATCCCAATATACTCGTTATAACATACAGCCTGGTTAGGGTGTGCCAGGCAAACCAAATGTGCATGATATGGCGACAGGATTTGATAAAAGCAGCACATAACCCTGCAGCCGGGGGCCCAGTTAGACATATCTACAAGTTGGGTGACCCAATCTACTAAGACTGTCTCTGATTGAATGTATTCCCAAATATCTAGATGTATCTCCAAAGTCACATTGGCCACTTTGTCCTTCAAACTTTAAAAAAAATCAAGCTTCTTGACAACCAGCCAAAATGCTCTCCCACTCCACTTGCTCATCAAGAGAGATGTGCAATGTGTCAACCTTTAGGGGACACGCCCAAGGGGTTAGTTTGGCAACTAACACACAAATCTGTGATAACCATATGGGATATTTACTGCATCCCATCTTAATTTATCAAGACTAAATATGTGTGTCTTAACATCTCCAGTTAATTAAGATCAAAAGCTATGAGAACCATATTATTATTATTATTATTATTATTATTAATTATTATTATTATTATTATTTTTTTCAGTCCTTGTCTTCAGAAAGAGGAAAGGTGGAACTACCAAATGGCCTGGTGACAGGTCACATCTACAGTGTAACAGATCTAAGACAGGTGAGCATTCTCTCCCCAACAATGTAAGTCTCCTAACTGTACATGTGTGGGAGGTTCTCAGCCTAACCAAGAAGAGATTCGAAAAAAGATTTTGACGTTGACTCATTTGGTTAGATTTTTAGAAGTGGCTTGAGCTATTCGTTGAATATCTAGGTAAACAAAGATCTCTAGCCTTGGTTGGCAACCAGTCTAGTAGAAAAGTAGACAGTATCTGCGCAAATTAGTTAACAATTTTAGCTATTGTTCATTTTTTTTTTTTCTTAGGATGGGGGTAACACCTCTGTACAAGTGTCTTGGATTGCCAAGGGATGAGTGTTTTTATTGAGTCACTCTCTCTAAACTGATTTTTCAGCATCCTCTTGTATAATATTTCTTTTCTGTTACTAACGTTGGCCCTAATTACTGACCACTGACAATCCACTTTCTCTTTTTCTTTTTCCTCCCCCATGAATTTTTTTTAGTAATGCCATTAGCACTACATTTAATTAAATCTGTAAAATAGCCTTATTCTTTTTGAGGCTTATGGCCACATCATGTTGAAACACTGGTTCCAGATGCAGATGGTGAAATGGATAATGGCTTGAAATTGTTAATTGGAAAGCCGAGTACCAATTCCTATTGGGTTTGTTATATTCACTTATGAGCAAATACCCTTGGGAAAGTTATGAATCCATCTCTTAAACCCCAGCTATGGGTTAATTAGTAAGATGTGTATTACTAAATCATTTTTGTCAAAAAAAAAAGAATGCTTACAATATAAAAATATTATCTGGCTTTAAATAACCTACAAAGGATTGATAAGCTGTAAAAAATGAATGGCTCAATCAATCTTTCCTTCTGATTTTTACAATGTCTTTGTATAGAAAAATAATGTGTTATATACATTATACATATCATAACACTATTCTATTGGCAATCTTTGTATTAATTCCTAACTTTTGATGGCCCTCACCCATCCTAATTTTGTGGATCACAAAATATAGATAAGTTGGTAAAATAAATTTTAAGTAAAAAAAAAAAAATTTGTATTTTTTTTTTTCTTATTGTCAAGAATATTTTCTGATAGAGAACATACAAATAAATTGTAGACATGTTACATACTTTCTCACCAAACCTGAAAAGGGAAGCTAGTTGGTGTTAAAAAAAAGCTATCTTTACTCAAAAGCCCAGTACATCATGTTGCAAGAGGCACAAGTCCTTGGAGCACACCTTGTCTTAGCACTGTCTCCCAGATGACAGTCTCTCGATATCAGCTGAACTTGGTGAATATTAATTAGAAAAAAAAGGAAGGTAAGTTAAGCCAACAAATATTTAGTTTGATTGTGAAGAAAGTACTTGTTGTAGAGTAGTTTCACAGTGGAGGCTTGTCGGTTCTAAAATAGGTTCGACGTACAAAACGTTAGGAACTTGATATAATAGGTAATGACACAGAGAAATCTAGTGGTGGTCGCTGATACTTTTAGTATCCGACTAACGGTTGTCCGACATTGACTGACTGACCAACTCCCTGAGCGACTGCTACTACTCTTACTTATTATAGATGGGAGAGTCTATTAACAATAGAATAGGTGTGTTCCACTATAACAGTACTCATCCCTCAGCAAACCTGGGCCACTTGTAGGGGATGTGCTGCTGCCTCTCCCAAGAGATCTTTGTCTACCTTGATATTTAACCCATAGTTGGAGGACATGATATCATATAAAGACAACTCCTTTGTTTTAAATCAATTGATTTTACCCTTTTTTATTATTGCTTATCAACCCTTTGTGTGTTATTTGAAACTGAAAAATATTTTTCTTTTTTTTTTTTTTTTTATTTTAATTAAAATTTTTTTTTTTTTTTTAAATAAATATTGCATTAACAATTTTGGGGGGAAATCCAAGTCCTTAATAGCTGAAGAGGAGAGAAGAAATGGATTCATATCTTTCCAAGTGTATTTGCACATAAGTGAATGTAACAAACTCGGCTGGTATTCAAACTCGGCTCTCCGATTTCACTTTCTGACCCACCATCCACACATCTGACTTGACTATTGGTCAACACTAGTCTTTCTCAGTAATGATAAAACAAATAAGAGGAAACAAAGACATTATTTTGTGGCAGAATATTTTAAGAAACCCTTACTAAACTTGATACTTCACATTGTGCTGTCAACTTTGTATATATTTATCAATTTGGAGCTTGGTATTAAATGTCGTTACTAAATTGATGCTTGTGTTATGCGCATCAAGTGCAAGGTCAGGTTAGCTGGTTGGTCAAATTATCAGATATCCTGGAGTTAGATTGTGATGCAATGACTACTCTGACCCACTTAATATATACCTACTATATCTTTTAAATACCATGTTTCACTGAAATTTAAATGCTACATTTATTGACATCTAACATGCAAATATTACACTGCCTTCACAATGTATTTATATTACAACTTGGCTGCTATCTGTTAAAGATTGTTGTAAACAAGCAATTATAGTTGTGAGTGGGAATAAAATCTTTTGTTCAAGTGATTAATTTTCCATTAGTATTTTCTTTTCATCTTTGTTTTTGTACCCTAGATGGATAAAAATACAAACTTGTAGAATCAAAATCTAAATTCGTCTTTTGCAGTTTCACAAATACAGATAAAGCAGCACTTTTTTTATAATAACAAGAGCAATGAGCCTGAATAGCATATGAAATGTTTGGTACTGTTGTGATACTGTGGACACCATGTAGAAAGGGAAGAGAACGTTTTTATCTCGATCTCAAATGCTTCTGTTCTATGGACAAGCAGATAGAAAACCAAATTTCAAAAGGAACTAAGCAGCAAGTAAAGGAGTAGATGAGGGATTTTTTTGGAGATCAAGTGGCAACAAAACTAGAATTAGAGTATATTCAGGTGCTGGTCTATAGTAACAGACATTGCTTGGGATTGAGGAGAGTTCTGGTCTGTACTTGGCAGGAGACTGTCTGTCACATGGTTCCGAAACCTCTATTGCCAGCCACTCTGTCAGGATGAGTAGATGGACACTGAGTTGGTAGGGGGAAGAGTTGACAGCTGAAGTTGTCCCAAATATCTACCTACCCACCTGAATGAGCAGGTAAATCCCTGAATAAATTATCTACAGGTTTTGCATTCTTAATTCTTAACGTGACATTTGTCTTTCATCATGTTACCTTGTGAGCATGCATCACACCCTTTCCCAGCTTTTGGTGCATACCAATGAGATTGAGGATTGAAATGCAGTGTGGGGTGATCATTGGCCTGTTCGTAAAAAGCTTGTGCAAAGGTCACGTTTGTTTACAATTGTGTTCAAATCAGTTTAGAGAAAAGACTTTTTGGCATTCAGAAGGATAAACTTTTTTTTTACTAATTTAACATGTTTACTGTTAGATGACAGGCACAAGTGTCTTGTGACATGTGTCTAATTTTTGATACATTAGATTATCTTGGAGCACTGTGGAGGAATAACTAAGCCATTGTCAAGAATGATATATTAGCATTATTAAAGTTTAATAAATTTAATTCTGTTTACCAATCTAAAATATAAGTTGTTTTACAAAGTAATTTCTTATGATAACACTACCAAAAACACGTAGATGGCATTATGTAAGGTTTCAAGTAGCCAAGGATGCAATTTCTAAAGGTAACGCTAACAAGCATATATTCTATGTGCCATGTCTAATGAATGTCCATTATCAGTTATCTCCTGTTAATTCCCCTCTCCAAGTTCTCCACCGCCTTAACCAGGTATTGAACTCCCAATTCTTTGGGTCCTGTTACTGGATCTAACTAATGCCTTTATCCACTGTGGACATCTGTGCATGAATTTCTGGGTATTATAAACCTAATGTCTCCAGCAACATTTTTTACCAGTGCTCATATTGCAATTTTTGCTGTCGTCATTGCATGTTTTTACCAGAGCTCATATTGCAATTTTTGTTATTGATTTTTTTCTGGCACTCCTTATTACTGGTTCCCATATTATATTCATTTCTGTGCTTGGTTGGCTCGAAGATTTTTGTGACCTAGCATATGTGCTGATTCCTTAAGTTTACGAATTTTCCAATGATGTTCTTTATCTATGATCTCAACCTAATCCCACAGAGGGTGGTGATCTCCCTTTTCTCTTCATATGTGGTCAGCCATGCCTGATTTTTCCACTTCCCCTCATGTTACAGCTTTCTGGTGTTCTTGAAGCCTTATCTTGAGGGGGCAGCCTGTCTCTCCTTTATATTTCTTTTCTCAGCTGCACGGGATAGCATACACACAATCTTTAGTCATGTTCTCCTCTATGGGGGAGGGAGGTCTTACTCAGGAGAGATATCTTTAAAGTGTCGTCAAGCTTTTGAAGGTTGTCCTGATGTTATATGGACCGCAGATCCTTTATGTTTTCTCTGATAACCCCTTCACATAAGGCAGGCAGACTGTTTTCTGAGTGTTGTTGTCCTCCTCCTCTTGTACCTGCCTATCCCAGTTTTTGGAGGGTAGTTGTTACGTTGTAGGATACTACTTTTACTGACCAATTCTTTATCTAATTTCTTTGGGTTGCCACTTATGACTTTTGCTCGGTGTTGTAAGCAGTGGACAATCACTTTCTTTATGTTGTATGGATGGTGGGAGTTGAAATTGAGGTACTGTCTAGTAAATGTCTGTTTACAGTATACGGATGTCTTGAACCCATGCTCTGTTCAAGATATTAGAACATCCAGGAATGGGAGTGCATGGTTATTCTCTTTCTTCATCGTGAACTGTATCAAAGTTCTTATTGAGTAGAACCTGAACATTCCTGGTGTGGCCAAAGTATGAAGGTATCATCTACCTACCTTAACCATATAATTGGCTTTAGAGATATAGATTCTAATGCCATTTCCTTAAAGTATTCCATGTATATATTTGCCATTGCTGGTGATAATGGTGAGCCCATTGCTAAGCCCTCATCCTGTCGATATATGTGTGATCCCATTCCGAAGTGTGTTGTTTGTGTACAGAAAGTGAACATATCCATCAGATTATCTATTGGAATGCTGGCCTGTTCTTCTAGGGAGGAGTCAGAGGCCAATCTGTCTCTGACTACTGAGAGTGCCTCCTTTGTGTGTACCTTGGTGAACACTCACCACATCCAAGCTCACCATCTAGTTGGATAGGATGGGAGCATCTTTGATTATTTCCACGAAGTTGGCGGAGTTTCGGACATATGAAGGAGACTTTCCGATCAATGGGTCCATTATATCGACAAGGAAGTGACTCAGAGGGTGGCACACAGAGCCTTGGCAACTAACAATCAGCTTGAGTGTAATACCGTCTTTGTGAATCTTAGGGAGGCCGTATATGTGAGGTAGCTTGGTGTAACACTGCAATAACTACCTATACGTCTTAGGTGTGAAGTGATCCTTGTTTTTTTCTGCCATTGTCAGAGGCTTTTTTTTTTTTTTTTTAATAATCATTTCGTCTCAAGCAAGGCAGGAATGCTACTAGTATGTGGTGGGGGGTTTACAGAGAATGAAAATGAGAGAAAAGACAGGATATAGTGGGGATTGAGGAAAGTATAAAAGATGAATATGATTCAAGAAGATGGTGATTGACGTTGCATTTAGATTTCTGAAAATTGTATTTATCAGGGAAGCAAGTAAATGGAAGGGAGTTTCACAGGAGGGAAGTGTGTGAAAAGAACCTGTTGGAGTAGAAGTGACAGTTACATTTAACTATTTCAACAGTAAAAGGGTGTGACCCAGATGCCAATCTAGTAGCATGCTTAAATTCATGTAGTCGAGGAACCAAGGAAAAAGCTTGTCAGAGCAGTTGCCATGAAAATTATTTGTAGATAAGACAAAAGGAAGCTGCATCACATCAGTGAGAATGTGACTGAATTTGAGATGCCAGATCAGGATTGATCACATTACAGAACCTTCTTTGTATTTTATCAAGAATCTTCAGATGAATAGCAGGAGCACCAGACCAGATATGGCAATGGTATTCAATGCATGGACAAATGATAGATTTGTAAATGTGCTATTGGTTTGATGTATTTGTTCCACTTCAAGTCAGTTGAAAACATGAGGCCAAGAAGGTGCAGTGTGTTGCTCTCCAAGAGTCTAGCATCAGCTATGCTAATGGTGTGCACGAAAATTTCTCTGTGGTGGTTAAATGAGAGTAGTTTCATTTTAGAGGCATTAAAATTTACAAGCCATTTTCTGCCCTAGTTAACTATGATTGGAGGTCCTTTTTAAGATTAGCAGCCAGATTAACTTTGTCAGCTCTGACAGATTTGCTATTGAGACAGGAGTGTCATCAGCATAAATGTCTACTTGGGAAATGATGACATCAAGATCATTGATGAAGATCAGAAACAGCGTAGGAACCAGGATAGAGCCTTGGGGGACACGTTCATTTGTGTGAAAGGATCTGGAAGTGAGCCTGTTCAGAACAACCTTCATTTCACGATTTGATAGGAACAAATGGATTAAATCAAACAATCGTCCTGTAATACCATAGCCCTGGAGCTTACATAGAGGACCAGTGTGCCAAACCCTGTCAAATGCCATTGAGCTATCTAGAGCCACAGTTCGAACTTCACCGTTATTATCACAAGCTTGATATACATCTTCAGTAATAGCTGTTAGTACATCTGCACTAGACCTGGCAAAATAGAAGCCGTATTGTTTGTTAGTAGGTCATGAGAGGTAAGATGCTTAACCACCTCAGCATTGATTAAAGCCTTGTATACTTTGATGAAAAGTTGTAGGAGGCTAATAGGGCAATAGTTAGAGGATTTGGAAGGTTCTCAAGAGTTCTTAAATCAGGAACTACAGAAGAGGACTTCCAATAAGCTGGAAAGCAGAAAGCACTGAGGCAATATTTGTAGAGTTTGGAGAGAACTGGAGCCAACTCTGGTGCACATTTTTTTAGGATAATGGCTGGGATCCAGTCACCTTCGCTTGACTTATGGGAGTCTAATTTAGAAATGATGTCTGAGACCAGTGACGGGGTTATGCACACATCACTTAGTAGAGCCCCTGTTCTAGTGAGGAAATTGGGTTTAGGTACATCAAATGAGTCGAGTGTTGAGTTGGAAGAGATTTTCCGAGCAAACCATTCAACCTTATCCGCTGTAGATGTCAGGACTTTAAATTGATTGAATAGTGGAGAGATTGAGGAGTTGCCATTGTTCAGCACACTCTTGCAGAGCTGCCAATAATCTCCAAAATCGAACTTGTGAGATGCTATATGTTGTTTGATTCTACCAGCAAACAGTAACTTCACTTCTTTGAGGACATACTCGCACTCATTATGAGCAGAGACAAAGGGACATCGGTTGCAATCAGATGTGTCGCAGATGGGCGTCTGTTGCAATCAGATGTGTCGCAGAGGGGCGTCTGTTGCAATCAGATGTGTCGCAGAGGGGCGTCTGTTGCAATCAGATGTGTTGCTCTGGTACAGCTGGAAGAAGTGATTCCTGTGGGCTATGAGGTTCTCATGTATCTTAAAAATGTTACTTCCTATAATTCATATTTGGATTTGTCATCATTAAAACAGTCTATTCTGGGCTCATAACCTGTGGAGCAATTGGCCATAGTTGTGTAATTGGCATAAATACTCAACAAACGGAATTGAAATCATTTCCAATAAACAATAAGAAAAGGAAGAAAAAGAACAGTGCAAACAAAATATACATGCATATCAAAATTTTTGCAAGGCAACAGTAATAAGGCAAAATGTCTGCAAAGAAAGAATGATGTTAACACGTAAAAAGGATACAGTCAAGTGAGAGGTGTGTTCTGACTTCAAGACAGGAAAGAACAAAAATATGGCAGATGAGATGAAGTGGTCCATAGATGTCAATGTGTAAGGTTTCAAATATCCAAGATAGCAATTTCTAATCATAACCTTACTAAAATCATAGATGGCATTATGTAACATGAAATATCTAAACCAGCGGGAAACATATTAAAATAGTTTCTTGCAGTTTCTGATAAACATAAAAAAAATTAATCTTGAAATTATATTTTGTAGCGATAATGCTAGTAGCAATAATATTAAAATATTAAATGTATGAAGTGATTTCATAATAATTGTGATCGGTAAAATTAATTTTAAAAATTATTTTGCACTATGACTCTAATTCATATTGGAAATGAAGACTCGGATTTTATCTATATGCTAATGGGTTAAGATATTTTTAACTTTTATTTTTAGCTTTTGTTGCCGTCTGAACAAGGAAATATATCAGTCACTCTTATACGCATCCGTAACCCATGGGGTAGACGTATTGAATGGAATGGACCCTGGAGTGTCAGGTAAGGGTTTACCTTTATGTTATTTTTATTTTTGGAATTTAAACAATTTTCTTAATTTAGGCCATTCATTTTGAAATTAAATATTTATTTTACTTGAGTGATTTCTTTTTATTTTTTTATACATAGATATTTCTATATAAATATTTAAGCTTAGATTTTTAAGGTAGATGCATCTTAGTGGCTTTGTTGTCTTGCTTGTGGGGTGAAACGATTTTAAAAAAAAACAAGATCACAATATTATGCCATCTTGTTCTATGTGCCATTTTCCTTCAGAACATTGGCAATCATGGCTCTCCACAATTACCCATCTGTTTTAGTTCTTAAGTTTTGTCATGCCATTGATTAATCAAGCTTGCTAAGTAGGTTATGCATTGTTTTTCTTCTGTCCTGTGAGTATCAGATTTTCCAAGACTTCTTTTCTCATCATGTACCATAGAAATTTCAACTAACTCTTTCTAATATTAAGTATAAGTGTCCTTTTTGTTTCCTTTTTCTCTAAAATGTCATTGTTGATCACGTGTTTGGTCTATAGTATTCTCAGTATCCTACAGAACTACATTTCTACTGCTTCAAGTCTCTTCTAACTTCTAACTCTCATACTTTGCCATTTGTAGATATTTACTCAGGTCAGCATAGCTGATACAAGGCTACAATGGTGAAGCACTGTGTAAGAAATAAATTCCAGTAATTTCCATAGGACAATGGCTGACAGACATACTGGCTCACCAAATGGGTTGGGGTAGTAAGTGCATGTGCCTATTCAAAGGCCCAGAAAAAAATTAATATATTAGGTGATGTGGTCTTACTCTTTGAACCCCCAGAACTAATTCCCAAATATTGTGTTATCTGTTGAATTTCTTTGTGAAAGAATAAACATTCCCCACCTCCTGATACATGGATTTTCCCGGGTGTGTGTGTGGGGGGTCTCTGTTCCACTGTCACTCTCAGCAGCTCTGTCTTGGTAAAAGGGTAAAGAGTGTAAAAATCAAAGAAAAGAAATAATCTTCAAACACAGCTCTACAAATTCAAATAATTTTTGTTTTCTTTTATGCTGAAATACATACAGAATTTTTTTTTATAAAACAAAAGAAAAAAATGTTAGTATAGAGAGGAAGGCATGTGTATGATTGTTAGATGAAAAGTCAAAATCTACACTCTGTTTTTCCTTATTACATGCTCCAGAAATTTCAACTCTTTCTGATGTTAAGTGTAAGTGTCCTTTTTGTTTCCATTTTCTCTAAAACTTTGTCGTTGCTCACATGTCTGGTTCATGGTATTCTCAGTATCCTTCTTTAGAATTGGATTTCCGTTGCTTCAAGTCTTATCTAAATCTAAACTCTGTCGTGTGTGCATAACGTAGGAGAAGCTGTCAGCCAATTAGCTCAACATCAGCGCTTATATGGCTAATGAAAACTAAGCCTGAAATATGTTGCTTTGTTTTTGTGTCACCTTGTGTTTTCATAATATAAATCATGCAAACTGGTTTCTGAAAATACTTCTAAAATGAGTAATAATTTTATAAAAGGAACTTAAGCACTTAGTGAGGTTGTTATTTTTTTTTTTTTTTTAAGGAGCTGAAAAATCAATATTATTGACATCCCAGTTGAAGTATGCAAAAGACTAGTTTATTTATGTTATGTTATTTATAGGAAAATTTTGGAAGTTAAAAGATATATTTATTAACCAATAAAACTTCTAAATTTAATAAATCTATTTCCCAATATTGGTTTTTAGGTAGGGATAATATTGTTAATCATTTTCCTGGACATGAGCTTGGAGAATTTGAAACTCACAGGACATCTTGTGTGTCTTTATGCACACACACACACTCACTCACTGACTCTTGGTATTTTGATGAACTCTTCTAATATTTAGTGTAAATGTTCCAAATTGTGTAAATTCATTATCTGGCTGCATATGTATGTATATAAATAAAAATATGTCTGTAAAAAAGATAAAAGACAAACTTAGTTGATGCATTTAGTCCTCTGACAGATAAAAACAAATGTAAGTATTCTATTTTGTCACAAGTATTTATGAAAAGAAATAAAAATGTTAGTTTTTCATAAATTTTAAATTTAAGAATGTTCATAAATATACTTCAAGCTAAATGAAAGTCAAGATAAACTATGGGGGATAAGTGATGTCATTTAATGTCTAATAAATGAAAGTGAATAAACTTTTTTTTTTTTATTTCTGTGTATAATAAATACTTGTTGTGAAATAAAATCCTTACATTTGTCTTGATAAAGTCCGTCGGAGGACTATACATGTTGGCTAAGATAATTTTTTTTTTTGTTTTTATTCATATATGAATGAAAACAAAAGGAAAATTTATCTATATAAATATATATATATATATATATATATATATATATATATATATATATATATATATATATATATATAATGTAATAAAAGGCTTAAACACTAATATTCCATGGTCATAATTTATTCCATTGGAATTGTAAATCGATCCAATTCATCAGACCTACAAATTCAAAAAAAAAAACAGAAAAAACAACTCCGAAATAAAATAGAATTTAGAGAGAGGGCATGAGAGTGTGGGACGAATGTTAGAACTAAAGAGAGGGGTAACAGACGAGAGAAGGTGGGAGATTAAACCTTAACAGAGAGAAGTTTAGGAGTGGAGTAGAAGTGGGGAAATATGAATGTTGTCTGATGTCTAATTCATTAAAGATTTATATATATATATATATATATATATATATATATATATATATATATATATATATATATATATAAGTTTAATCTGAAGATAACTACAAGGAGAAAATTGACTTCAAAACTGTTTACATCATCATCCCCCTCTGACTACATGTGGTTGCTGCACAACTCCTGAGCAACTGAGTAGTTCTCTCCACACAAGTTGAAAGATGGAGAGGTTTTTATTTGTGTATAGTTTGCCTTGAGCAATTTCAGCATTTCCTGAAGAAGATTACCCAGATTGCCAAGCACCTGGTGAATGCTGAAGGGTACGACAGCTGAAACATTATGATAAAAACAAACCATGTTGATGATCTAAATAATGATAACTCAACATCCCAGAAATTTAAACAGAAATTAATCATGTACTTTGTTTAAAGATTCACACCTGTGAAAGCTATAAATATTAGGGATTATTATTTCTAACTTTTTTCTATTTTCATAAAAAAAAACATTTTTTTTTTTTTTCTATTTGCTTATTTTTATTTGTAGATCTGTTGAGTGGCTCAGCATTCCTCCTGATGAAAGGGAGAAATTGGGTTTGGTATTTCATGATGATGGAGAATTTTGGTAAGTATCATTTTTTTTTTTTTTTTCTGTAACTTCCCATCTACAGACGGGAACCAATCAGACTTTTTCTATATTAGTAAAAGTTTGAATAAAAAAATTATGTGAAAATATCTTGTGATATAAAGGGTGTTTCATTAAGACGGATCAAAGTCAGCAGTAAATTAATTGGTCTTAGTGAAAATTTATTTATTTCTCTATTGGATCATGTTATTTAAGTCATGGCAATTATGAGTGAAAAATAATATCGCCCAAATATCCACCATGGCTTTGACGGCACACCTCTACTCGATGGTCAAAATTTTTGATGACATCTCTGCATAGTTGCTCCTCGATCTCACCAATATGCATTATTATCTCATCCTTCAGCTATTGAATTGTTGGCTTGTTGGTATAGATCTTGCTTTTGAGCTGACCCCAAAGGAAGAAATCTAAAGGCATCAAGTCGCATGATCGTGGTGGCCAATTGACTTTGCTGTTTCGAGGGATGATGCGACCTGGGAACTTCTCATTCAATTTCTGTTTGAACGTCCATTTTTGTAATAGGCTTCAATAACTTTAACACAATGTTTGATTGTAAATCTTTCCACAGTTGAAATTGCCAAAGACTTAATTTGTTGAATCTGAAAGAAAAATAAAAATAAATCATTAGATGCTTAAACTTTATTCACATTTAAAATCCGTCCAAGTTATTGGAACAGCCTTTATTAAGCCAGGTGTGTTTTTGCCTGTAATAGTTTTTAGTTGTTTGCTGTAATTTTTGTCTTAACTTTTCACTGTACACAAGTCCTCTTCCTTGCAACAATGAAGTTTTTATGATAGTGGTGGCCTGTTCAAAAATGGATTGTGAAAAGATGGACTCCTTGAAAAAGTAGAGTATGACAAGAATGTCATTTTTGACAGCACAGGTAAAATAGTGTACTTCAAAATTCACGTGCAAATACACAACACCACCTTGGATACAGAAAAATATTTTCAAAAAATATATTTTAATTAATAGAATCTGTTTAAGTTTAAACTTTTTCTTTTAATTAAGTGATAAATTAAAATTAAAAAAATTATTCTTCTTCTATTTAATAAAAGCAAATGTCAGTGTGTCACTGTGTCACACTGTTTCAACTTTACTCCTTGAGCTGTAGCCCAATATATAGCATTTTGGAATTAAGCTCTGTGAGCAAATAAAAAATATTTTGGGTCAGATCTTCACCCACAATCCTGAAATTTTGTATTAAGTTTTCGTTACTGCAATTGTTTCCGGTGATTTTTTTTTTTTTTTTTTTTTTTTTTTTTTTTTTGCAACAAACATTTTTGTACGATAACAATTTTCATAACTTGGGAATAAATTTTTGAATAATAGAAATTAATTGCAAAATCCAGTGGAAGCAGAATTATCGCTGAACTTTTAAAAGGTAAATTTAGATATTAACACAATATTTAAATGCAGTGATCAATCTTCTTTAGTAGTTTATTGTTACCTATTCCATCTACTTCTCCCTACCTATTTTGATGAAGGCACAATTAAGAGCCCTCCACAGGAGCTAGCTTAAATGCTACCTGATAGTGGCTTTTAAGCTAGTTCTAAATAAAATCACAAATTTTACCTGTTAATAAAATTTAATACTTAGAACATTATTTTTCTTTCGTTAGTAATCTTAGAACACTTTTTTCTCCCTTTTGTAATCTTGGAATGTCTATTTTTTCCATTTAGTAAAATTTAATGCTTTGAAAATTTTTTTTTTCTTCTTTAGGATGAATTTCAAAGCTTTTCAGGATCACTTTGACACTCTTGACATTTGTAATCTGACTCCTGATTCTCCAATAAACATGCCACGGAAATGGTTTACTGCTCAATTTCACAACCGTTGGTACAAAGGCTTTTCAGCAGGAGGTCGTCCATCACACAAAAGTGAGTAGATTTGGAGGAGACATTCACTATTTTTTTTATTGTCTGATGAAGGAAGTTTTTGAAAAATTTGATTTAACATCTAATTTTTGAAGACAACTTTATTTTTTATAGACTGTTCCGTATTACAATTTGTGGGTGTGTTTCTAATAGGGAGTAAGTTGATAGGCAAAGAAATTGTCACTCTATCAGTAATGCATGACTACTAAAAAAAACTGTTTCCTTATTTTTTGGAGGCACAGTGGGGAAAAGTATGAATCCTCCTTTCCCTCCAGCTATGGGTAAAATAGGACAGGCTTGGTTCTATAGCCTTGGGAGGCAACCAGTCTAGGAGAAAGTAACTCCGAATTCAAAACTGTATTTAGCCCTGGTGTAGCACATACTATACAGCTAAGGAAAGGATTGTCTGCATTGACTCAATGTTGTATCCTTAAAGAGGTTACAAACAGACAAAGGTGGTACTAGAGTGAAAGGAACAGCAACACAGGCATAGATGGAAGAAAGAGAGGTTTATTGTAAAAGAGAATACACTACTGAAATACAGGGAATCTGTTAGCATGCAAGTCTCGAGTACATCTTGTGCACAATATATATATATATATATATATATTTACTGATATAGTCAGTCCAAAATAGGGAGAGTAGGGCATTCCATTACAATACTCAATGATCTTGGCTATGGTCGACCTGGATGGATGGATTTTTTTTTTTTTTTTTTTTTTTTTTTTTTTTTGCACTTATGGTCATGTAAACAACCATTTTGCAACATTGCTGACAGTCACCTTGTGTGCTATGACAGTTTCTTCTGTGAGTTTAAGGAGGGCAATTTTATCTTTGAGGCATAATTCTGAAGTTAATACTTTGGACAAGTTTCTCATCCCACTCTAGGTTAAATAGCAAAGTAGGCTGGACTCTTGTAGTGAAGAAAATGACAACTTACCTCATCAAAAAAGAAAGAAAGAATATTCATGACTCTTGTTTATAAATGAGAACGTTTTGCAAATTTTTGGTCACACCTCAACGAATCACTGACTTCTCAACCTAGATATAAACAGGTGCTGCATATGGCTGGGGGACTGCCTCTATGCGTCATTACACTCCATGAAGGAGGATTTCTGTATTGAATTTTATCCCCTCAAAATTCTATTACAACCCTTTAACCTTGGGAACCAACCAATCTAAGAGAAAAAAATTATCTTCAAACTATGAAGAAGGCAATAGGAAACTACTCTGCTATCTTATCTGAAAATAAATGGTAATTTACAGATGATAAAGGAATCTGGAGAGCCATGACTGCTCATGTGATGGAAAGGGTATGACATTTTAAAAGAAATATATAATTTTAATATTTGCTGTTATCAGATATGTCATGACGTTGAATGAAATTTTTTTGCTTTATTTGTTTTATAAATCTTACAAGATTACTAAAGCAATTTCTCTTCATCCTAATTTTGTGAATGGATTTGATTGGATTATATCAATATTAGATTATCCAATCAAAGCAATCATTTTCTGTAAGGACAACCAAAAGATACCATTTTAAGAACACTTCTAAACTGAAGATTTTATATGAGGTTTCTAACAAAATATTGACATGTATTAAATAATATTTTTTAATTCCTATTTAGTTTTTACTAGTTTTAACCTGTGAAAATTTCAGTTTTCCTATTTAAATGAATGTTAATTCTTAAGCTAATGATCAAGCTCATGGCGGGTTCTACATCAATAAAATATCCAAAAAAATTTTCATGTCACATTGTTAAATATTTGAGCATAACAACTTTAACAAAATATTGCAATAACAATCATAAATATGAATGTTGGCCATTATTTTAAGAAGTGGGTACAAATGAAAAGATTTGAAATTGACAACTTTTTCCATTTTACTGAAACAGCTGTTAAACACTTCTATTAGTCCTGGGTATGACAATAAACTACATCTGGCAGCAAAACCTCTGATCAGGAGATTGGAGGTTTTGAGGCGCATAGAACTATGCATTAATTGCTGTTCCCAGGTCCACCGTGATCCGGGTGGTAGCACCAGTTAGGGTCCCAGCTATGGGCAAATAGTGACCCCCTCCAAAAAAACACTTTGAAAGCCTAAAAATGTTATTTTTGTTAGAGTACTTTCAACAAAAAAATTTTAACTACCACACAGACACCACATCGGTTCTTGATAATGGCTGTGATAATTGAAAATACTTGAACAAAAATAACAAAATATGAACTTTGGACCATTTATCCACAACTTCGAGCACAATACGGGACATTTTAAAATTAAACAGACTTTGTCATTTTTTTATTTTTATTTTTTTAATCAAACTTGTTTGGAGATATGCGTGTGTATATATATATATATATATATATATATATATATATATATATATATCATCCACAAACACTGTTTCACTGTATCACAGCTCATCAGTGTGGCTAGACGTCTGGTTACCTCTAGCTAGGATTGAAACTTGACTTAATTGGCGTCAGTCAGGGATTCTACCACTAAGCCGTTGGTGCATGGCAAGCATGAAGGTGAATTTAAGTGTATTTATTTTTAGATAAACACACAGTGACTGAGAGAACTTGATTTTATTTATCGAAGAGTCTTGCATTATTAGCCATAATAGTCACTGTTTACAAACCCACACTTCCTGCCAGAGAGCTCAACTGAAATAAATTTTTCAAGCGCATTATATATATATATATATATATATATATATTTGTCATCCACAGACACTGTTTTGCTGTATCATAGCTCATCAGTGTGGTTAGACGTCCGGTTGCCTCTAGCTAGGATTGAAACCCAACTGAATTGGTGTCAGTCGGGGATTCTACTGCTAAGCTGTTTGCGCATGACAAGGATGAAGATGAATTTAAGCGTATTTATTTTTAGATAAACACACAGTGACTAAGAGAAACTCAATTTGATTTACTGAAGAGTCTTGCATTATTAGCCATAATAGTCACTGTTTACAAACCCACACTTTCTCCCAGAGAGTTCAACTGAAATAAATTTTTCAGGAGCATATGGTGGACTCTTCCGTCATATTCAGCATATGAGGGTCAAGCAGCCCAGACATCAGCACATTTTGTTTTCATTATAGTGGTGAAGGCTTTGGGCAGAACCAACCACACTTTTTGAAGAGCCAAATACAGAGACCTGGTGCACTACGTGCCACAAGGTCCCAAAATGATCCTCCACAGGTTTTGAATCCAGAGTTGTTCTTCTCCTAGACCAGTTGCCATCTAAGGCTATAGAACCCAGTCTGTCCTGGAGGTGGAAGAGGATTAATACCTTTCCCAAGGATATTAGCACGTAAGTGAATGTAATGGATTTGACTGGAATTTGAACTCATATATGTGTGTGTACGTGTGTACACACACTACTCTTCAAGTTTGAAGCCACCCTCAGAATTAGCATGGGATGAACTTGACAGAAGAGTGGGGAAAAAATGTGAAAGAACTCTTAGTCATTGAAAAAGGAATGGAAACAATTATCAAAGTTATACTTTGAAAAACTTTTGCAACGAATGTCAAAAATTTGTACTGTAATAATAAAGGCTAAAGGAGGTTATTTTGACAAGATCAAAATTTAATGATAAAATGCTTTTTATCTTTTTGTCATAATAAAATTTATAATAAAAGATCATGTCTCACATTTTTTTAACTATGTATAATAATTTCTTATTTAAAGTACGAAACAACTACTTTTTGGGGTAAAAAAATTACCATTAAATTATCTCAAACTTTTGAACTGATTTTAGTCTTTGCTATTTCAGAGTGAATGAAAGTTTTGATATATTTATTTAATATATACTACTTGTGATATCACAGGTCAAATAAATCAGTATTAAAATAAATTACAAGAAAAATATTTTTTAATGCAGCTTTCTATGTGTTTGTTCATATTTGGTGTGTAGAACTGGAGATACTAGAATTAAACAAGTGCAAACATTTAAATATCTCAAATATTTTAACAACACATTAGGATAGCATAAGATGCCTTTCAAAAGTTAAGCATAGTATTATGAAACAGTACAATTTTATAGGAAACAAAGAAAAGGATACTGAACTATTATGGAATATCAGTCCTCCTATATGGCAGTGCATGCTGGACCACCTCCTTACAGATGAAGAAACTTGAGGCAAAAGAAATGTGGCTCTACAGAAGGATGCTGAGAATACTATGAACTGAACATGTGAGCAATAACAAAGCATTAGAGAAAATGGAAACAAAAAAAGACACTTTTCTGTAGTAGCAACAATGAAGAAAAAGGGCTTGGAGAATTTGATACTCACAGGACATAATGAAGGCAAGAGTGACAGAGGAAAGCAGTGTATAAACTACCTGATGAGCTTGTGTAAATGATTAGCAGAACAGGGATTAGGCAATATAGACAAACTTTACTAGGGGCTAAAAAAGACAGGAAGTTGTGGAGAGCCATGATCGCCTCTGTCTTGAAGAGACATGGTACATAGAAGAAACACTTTGGCAAATGAAAGTTTTAATGTATTTGTTTAATAAATCTGAGCCATGATGTCATTTAACATTCATATACCTTTCTGAATGCAAGAAAACAATTATCTTGCTTGACATCCTTCAGAAAATAGAAAGCTGGAAAATTACCACAAAGATAGGGGGTGGGTGAGTTAGAAATAAAAGGTAGGAAGTTGTGGAGGTCTATGATCACTAACCTTCTAAAAGGACATGACACATAGAAGAAAATATAATACACGACTATTGCTATACACAATTTATAATCTCCTAGACATTTTCCAAATAACTCAATTGAGTGAAATTTTTTGCTATTGGGAGTAATGGAGTCACCACCACTGTTCCATCTACAGGTCTTTATTTTTCCTTCTCTTTTCTAGCAACCCACTGGTCCAACCCACAATACCGCATGATCCTTAGTGATGTTGATGAAGATGACGACGATGTGTGCAGTGTCATTATTCAACTTATACAAAAGGACCGAAGAAAAATAAAGTTAAAAAATCCCAGCTTGCAGTATATTGGATTTGTTATATATAAGGTATTTGTCTGTCTGTCTTTCATATTGAAATTCAGCTTTTAAATTACTTATTTTAGTCTAGCCAATTTATTCTTTGAACTTTTTTTTTTTTTTGTTCCATGCTTTGTACGTTGGCTCACAACTCCTATTGTAGTATTTCTTGTGTTGTTAATTTCTTGTATTCAAATGCCTCGACTTGAACTAAAAATTCTACTGGCAGTACCAAAGAAATGGTCTTTTATTGCTTGTGTGAAACTATGTAGCATTACATTAGGTCATCTTCTGTTTATGGCTGGCTAAAGGTATGTTTTCAAATACCTGTTGTATTTTACAGGGTGTGGTGCGTAAATTGCCACCATTTTATATTTTTAATTTAGTGCATACATATTATTTGTTTTTGATTTTGTCGACTGCACAGTATAGTAGGGTCAGTTGGGTACTGTCTGTGAGAAAAAAAGAGCACCATGATACAATTCACTCCACCAGAAATTTGGAAATGGCATGCTGTACTGTTTGGCATTTGCACCAGAAGCTCCAATACAAACATTTCAGAGTGTTTGGGTGTCAGTCTGAGGACAGTGCAGAGGATTCGGAAAAAGTTTGATGAGGATTATGAAGATGTTTGGAGTGATCACTGGTGATGGTGATGTTATGCCACCATTCATCTTCCCACAATGTCTTGGGCTCAACATGGGGGCCTACATCAAGTGCCTTGAGGAGGTAGTGCTGCCCTGGGTCAAGAGGGTGGCTGCTGGAAGACCCTATGTCTGGCAACAGAATTCTGCATCATGCCACACAAGCAGGAGAACCCAGTCATGACTGTCAGACAATTTCTGTGACCATGTCGCCTATTATGTCTGGCCACTTAAATCCCCAGACTGCAACCCCCCTTGATTATTACGTGTGGGGTGCAGTTGAGCAAGAGACCAAGAAAACTCCTTGTAACGCCGAAGATGAACTGAAGGCAAGGATTATGGCAGCATTCATCAACAAGGAGACCATGCAGAAGAGTTGCAGGGGATTCCAAAGTTGTCTGGAAGGCATGTGTGGTGTTTTTTTTGGGGGGGGGGTTTGATGTTTTTACCCAATCAGTTAATAGACAAATATAACCCTGGTTGACTCAGAAGCCAAGCAATCAAAGCATGTGGGATCAAATGGTTGTTTATCCTGCAAAGTAGGATGCAAGTTCAAATTTTTTTTTTTTTTAATATATATAGTCATTTTCCTCAAGTCCACAGGCTGGTAGATGAAATAAATGTTTTTTAAAAAAAAAAAAAGAAAAGAAATGCAGTGCAAATTCAAATACATGTATCCAATACAAATAACATTTAATAATGTAATATATATATATATATATTTTTGAATAAAAGACAGACCACGTTAAGATTCCATGTAATAAGCTATTTCACCATAACCCCTTTAACAGGGTTCTGGGTCGTCAGACTTTTCTTCCAAAAGCTGAAATGAAAAATGAAACGAAATTCACGTTATATATATATATATATATATATATATATATATATATATATATATATATATATAAAAATGTGTGTGTGTGTATGTGGTGTTAAAACAATCCTATTTAGTGTAGCATGAATCCTACTAAGGTTGAAGCAAGAATTATCCTTAAATTTATGCTAAAACTTGTTTGGAAGACTGAGAACATTATTGGTGTTTTGAGAAAAGCTAAAAAGATAATTTTCTGAAAAAAAATGGTCATTTACAAATGGATTACTTATTTCAAATAGGGTATTTCTGGTAAGCTAGTAAAATCCAAATTACCTAGCTTGGGTTTGTAGGCTTTTCACATCAACTTCTTCAGTTAATTCCAATTCCAACTGGCACCAGGTATAGATTCATTTCCTTGTAAAATCCACATCTGTCACTCCCTTCTCTTAACCCCTTTAATTTCTCCTACTTGGTAAATTGCAACAATAGGAATTCTTTTTCCAAATGGTTATCAATTGGAGTGTCACTAATTAGTGAAATCAACACCAATAACTGTGTTACACTTGTCCGACAACGACTTGTAATTTGCCCTCCTTGGACAATTACAACCAGAACAACATTAATGCAAAAGTTTAGTTATTTCAATACCTGTAAAAGAAAAAATTCATACACACTTTGTAAATTTCAGTATTTTCATCCCTTTCTCTGGTTGGTTCTTGAAAAAATGTTTCTCCCAAGGCTGAAAGTATGGCACACCTGGCTATTAAGTTGTAATTAATTTAGTGTGACAATCTTACTAACTCTGTTGTAGAGGCAGAAATGGGTAACCTGGAAGACAGAACCATTTTTTTTTTTGTTTTCTTACTCTTATGGAGGTTAATTTCTTCTCAGTCTTGATAAATATGAATTCAACTAAAAAGAATGGGTAGATGAATATATAATTTATTGACACACATACAAAACTAGTAACTTTTATCTGTTGCTAAGGCAACAGGGAGAGAGAATGATGAAATTAGAAGTAAAGTAAACATTTCTGATGCGATGGTTGTCATTGTTAACATGAATGCTGGTTAGTGTTTCATCCCTCTCTCAGCTTGCTGGTGTTGATGTCCAAGTTGGTCTGTCTTGAGTCTGTTTGAATTAGAGAATATATAGTCATCAATCAGCCCTGAGTTAATATTTTAATTTTTGGAACGGAAGTGGGTCTGACTGGTTAATAAATTGTTCATTTTATTTTGGTAAAGCAAATGTATACGTGGAACCTATGCATAGAAAATGTATTTATACAGTCTGCTTTGGGTTGGCAAGTGGTCAACATCTGGTTTGTGTAGAAAAACGTAAGAGATATGATAACCCTTACACCACGAAGTGTCCAATATTCAGATTCTGTGTATTTTTTTTTTTTTTTTCATTTTCACTAAGACTTCTTTGTTGCTTATTCAATCAGTCTATAGAATTCTCAGTATCCTTCTCTAGATCCAAATTTCTGTTGCCTCCAGTTTTCTCTTTATCTGTGGGGAGACATGAATAGCTGTGTGCTAAAACAAAAAAGTTATTGTAGCACCCTATATAAAATGGAGGAGAAAAAAGGCAAAGAAAGTATTTCTGCAATATTTGTTTATTCCTGGCATTCATATTTTTTTTTCTCATGACCCCTATCTTTCAAATTTTGCCATCAATGATTTGACCTATTTCCACCACCCCCTCTCTCTGGCCCCACCTTACAAAGAACAATGCCATTCTGCTCTCCACACCTAACTTTAATCACAGAGAACTTACCCTACTTAACCTTGAGGTGCTTTAACAAAATAGAAAGAGACAAACCTTCCTCAACCCCTATTGGAGGGTCAGCTACAAGTTTTCCTCTTGACTGGTCGGGACATGACTTCATTTGAGTTTCTATCAACAAATGTGAGAATCACTTTCTCATAAAAGTCTAAAAAGATTTCAATTTCATATAAAGCTTAGCAGTATGATTGAAAATTTCAGGGTTTTTTTTTTTGGTTTTTTTTCCCAATATAAATTTTCTGAGGAATCCTCATCCTTAATTTAATAACCAAATAGGTTTCTTGCAACTACAAAATACTTTTGGAAATTTTATTTCATTGGTAAATATTTGAGCTTAACAACTTTAACAAAATATTGCAATAACAATTACAGATGTGCATAGAGGTGATTATTTAATGCAAGAGGGTACAAATGAAAAAGATTAAAAACTGATAATGTTTTCTAGTTCACTGAAGCAGCCATTAAATGCATGAGTTATTATCTTTCTTTCCCTTTCTTTCCTCCTCCTTCTTCTTCTTCTTCTTCTTCCTCTTCTTCTTCTTCTTCTTCTTCTTCTTCTTCTTCTTCTTCTCTTCTTCTTCTTCTTCTCTTCTTCTTCTTCTTCTTCTCTTCTTCTTCTTCTTCTTCTTCTTCTTTTCTTCTTCTCTAAATTCAAACAGTGTCTCTTATGCATCTATTTCACTTGTCTTCCCTTCAGATCAAAACAGAATAGTCCATTATTTATCTAAGGTAACGGTAGATCTAACACACCTGCTAACTGACTTTTTGTATGTACATATGTGATGTATATATGGATGTCTGATGTGCACAAGTGACTTACATGTACTTGGACCATTTAATGTATACACAAGCACATACACAACTTGACTGGGTTTGAAAGAAGACAGTGGAATAATACATTCCCCCTCCTACTTAGTCTGGACAGTGCCTACCCTGGGCAAAGCAATAAATTCATAAAGTTAGAGGCAAGAAAGTTAGTTTTTTAAACCCTAAAATATTAGATGCTTAATAGGATTTGATTGAACTTTTCAAAACTTTCTCTTCAGTCAAGTGAGTACAACTTCAAAGATCCTATCTGCTGGTTATAAAACAGAAATCCCCAAGATTGTGATAAAATCAAACTTTCCTCTTTTACATGGCTGTCCCAATCATAGTGCCAAAGTAGCAACTGAGCCTCTCTCTTTATTGCCATGCTATAGGATTGCAATTGTTCCGACAAGGCTTCCCTCGTAACTTGACAAGGAAGGCAGAACAGATACTATTTTTTGATTTGAGTATGTAGACCTGAATAAGGAGCACTGATCCTTTATTTACTTGCATGGATGTGACACAAGGTCATTTCTCATGTGGACTTCCCCATACACATCCATATAGGTCAAGGACAAAAATTACCCAGTCTCCCAAACCACGCATATGCTGGTATTGGTATCTACTAATCTTTAGTACAACAATGATGAGAGTTCCATAGTGTTGAAATCCCCAAGACCAGGGATCCCTCATAGGTTTCCGGTGAACTGTCCAAAGACAAAAACACTTATGGCCACATAACACTGGTTCTTGTACGATGGAATACCAGGTGTTGTAATCTTGAATGTGCAGGTGGTGTAATGGATAATGGTTCGGAATTGTTAATTCGAGAGCCAAGTCTCAATTCCTGTTGGGTTCATTATATGCACTTATGTGCAAATACCCTTGGGAAAGGAATGAATCCACCTCTTCTCCCCCAGCTATGGGTTAATTAGTAAGACTTGTATCACTAAACAATTCCTAGCAGAGCGGCCATG